CGATCGTCCGGACACTACGCCAGCACTGGTTTGTTGGCCGTCAAGAAGTCGTCCCAATCGGAGCCAAAACCGCCAAAACTTCCGCCGAGAGATTTCGAGAAGAATAGAGACAAAGCCAGAGACAAGAGCCGCGACGCCAACAAAAAGCATAGCAAAAACAGTACCACTAATACTAATCCCAAAGTACACACTTTGGGACCCAAACCCGACTACCAGGAAGAAAATATATACTCTTTGGGTCAACAATCGAGACAATTGGGTAAAGAGTTGTTGTTTTGAATGAAATGCTTGTTTGAATTGAATTAATATTGATTATTGCAATTGTTATACTTGTGATGACACGATAGACGACCCGTATTATTGTGGATTCAGCGCTCGAGTGCCCAACTTTGCCAAACGTCAGCCAATGTCGCCGAAAGCACAACAGCCGAGTGCTGGTCAGTACGGCTACGGCTATCACATGCGAAAAGTGCCGTCGAGTGGGTTCTTGAACTCATACCTCAAGACTATACCAAATCACTCGCGCTCTGCCTCTTACGGGTCTTTCTACGGGTCATTAGGTATGCAATCATTTATACACTACTCGTATAGACAGCGATAGAGCGTTAGCCGTGCGGTTCAGCGCCACTACTAATTCGTAAAAGGGTTTAACGCATAAAATATAACATTTAATTACTACTGATTTGAATAACAAATTTTGCAATTATAGTGAAAACAAAAGCATTTTTCGTAAATATAATATATTTGAAATATAATTCATGTCAACGACTAGTTAGACAACTATTATTAGTTTTAAATACAGTGGATATCGATATGTATTATACGAGACAATGACTTAGAAAACCTGACTATTATTATTTATCAATACATTTACATAAGATATTCACCAAAAATAACCGCAAAAATCTCAAACCTCAACTTCACAGAAACCTATGATTATAAATATTACCAGTAATTTAATTGTATATATAATGAACACTGAATTAATTGAATATATATTCCTATCCCGCCTTCCGGTGCATCCCATGCAGAGTCAGACCCATACACGGCGTCGAGTGGTGTGGGCGGCGGTCACACAACGGACGACACGGCGTACGACCCGACGTACGGCCGGATCGGCGGACCAAACCTTAGCCGAAATATTTACGGCCAAACCCAGAAGAGGAGCAGCGCATCCATGCCCTGGGCCTACAACTCACGGGAAGGCACTTACTATGGAGAATGGGATGAATGAATGGGCTGTCAATTGTTTGGTCACAGGAGCCGCACTTTCCCCACACAT